GAGGAAAAGCACTCATTGCATTTCAGTCATAACAGCTTCAAGGTCTTGCCAACAAACAAATTGGTCAACAGAGTGCTTTAGAAGGTCCATCTATGTCTTCAGCTATACTTTTATTCCATTCAGAGTGCATGACTATGCAGAAGTGAAGTGATTTTCAGGCWAACTTTGGGAGAAATGTACCAGATGGTACAGTATATCAGTAATGTCAAAAGACCTTGTGTCTCTAGGTTATTSAGACCAAGATAAACTAGGATTGTGGCATATTTTTCTCACTATCAGCTGCCTCATGGCTGTGTAGCAAAATTTCAGCAATATTGACAGTTAYTGTGCACTAGAAGCCATCATCCTGAGGTCACTGACTAAAAGGAAAGCAAGGGATGACCAGAGTCTCAGAAGTCATAAGGGAAAACTGAGACATACTCTTAACCATATGGCCAGACATATGTGTCCCATTTGAAYAGAGCCCACTCTGAGGTGAAACAGGACTTCAATTCCTTCAGTTGTCAACTCAGTACTAAAATTTGGTTCAGTTACAAAGAGGATACAAATTCACTGGATAAACTGGGAAGGAGCTGTCATTTACCCTGTTTAATCAACAAGTTGTTAGTTTTTAAGTTAGCTTGTTAAAAACAGTAACAAAAGAAAAAAGAAAAAAAGAAAAGAAGAATTGTCCTGCAGAGATTGTCACAAACCAGAAACCTCACTCATGTACCCTACTTCAGAACAAATGCTCTGGAAAGGATTAAAACCCAAGTTCAGCCAAAAGAAATATAGTTATCATCATGAAAACAACAGACAAGGTAATTTCGATGTGACTTGTGTGTCCTTCTTCAGGAAGGTCACTAAGAAACACAAATTCAGATTTTTAGATACTGTTTGCGAAAAACCTAGATTTCCTTGTACTCAGTGTGAAAGTATGCATACAAACTTACGGGTCACGTACAAAGACAAATCTAGGGAGATGAGTGTGCTAGTTTTGACTAGGATAGTTAATTTTCTGCACAGTGRYTGGCATGGGGCTCTGTTTTGGATTTGTGACGAACATAGAATTGATAATATAAAGATGTCTTTTGATACTAAGTAGGGCTTCCAAGAKCCAAGGCCTTTTCTGCTTTTTGTACTGCCACAATGGCAAAGAAGTTGGGGCCAGTTGGGAGGGGTCAAAAAATAGAGGATGGCATTTGTCACATCTTTAATGTGAAACAGCACAAAACAGTCTAATTCTTTGTGTGAGCAGAAGTAACAAGTATTACACATGCAGGTTTGCTCAAGTTTCGGGTTCCTCTCACATACAAATAGACATTCCACCCATTCCCTCTTCTCTCACTACCGATAAGCAACAACTGCAAAATTTGTGGAAGTTCCTACAACAAGCTGGAGTTCCTGGTTTGCCACATGTAGGAGCAGCATCCTTCTCATGAACTATGTTCATTACCTGCACAAGTACAAAGAGGCATGCAGAGCAAAAGGAACATTACCTGTAGATCCATGCTGCGAGAACTTGCAATCCAATAATTGAAACCCAAAACAATGATGCATGCCACAAGTGCAGCCATGAGGAGAGGTGGAGACTTCATCCCGCGACAGCTGTTTCCTAATGCTACCATTTTAAGAAAAAAAAAAAATCCAAAGAACCACACCAAGTGTGAAAACCTGCAAATTAAGAAGGACACATTTTACTGATCGCCCACTACAGCTATTTTGCACTCACAATAAAACTTTGYAACAATGTAACAGCTCTCAGCTGACAGGCCTACACCTAGCAAAGAAGGTAAATGTATTTGTGTTGACYGGTTTGGGTATTTCCATCTGAAAGACAAAGAAAGGTCGTCGCACACTATTAGCTAGTACATAAAGTTTCATATGGTCTTGAGGGGGTTGTCTTGAATRCTCCTAACAAGACAATGAAAATCTTCAATAAATAGAACCAGCCATCCTTTTAGCATACAGTCTACCCAAAAAGCTAAATAGACAACATTGGGTTGGAGGATAGATTCCTTTTTAGCTAATTCAGTCAGAAAATTTACTTAGTCTMGTTGTTTGAGGAGTAATTTGCACCTTGCTTCCTAAAATTGGGCAGTTTCAACTTACTGCATCTGATACTATTATATACTACTATTTACTAAGCTTGCAGACAAATAAGTAAATCAGATTGAAACAATTTACTTAAAGGTTATTCTAAAAATAAAAATTAATATAAATTTGAGCAGACACGCCATTGATTTCAATGCTACACCACATTAAGTGCTCTCCATTCTGATCCTCAGCTTCTTTCTCTGCTCCTACAGAAAATAAACAATGAATGAGCACTACTAGGGATACTACTGGTTGTTRTTCAGATTTGAGTTATGTGAAACAGCCCATCCTAAAAGACAGGCAGGGGCAAAGGGCCATTGCAATTCTCTTTGAAACAGRTCATATTCATTTTATGATGTGGTAAACTCTGGTCTTAATAAYCCTAACAGTACCTAATTTTATGAATCCTCAAACTCCGCTGGGAATCTTGGGTGCAGTTGGTAAAATGAGATTTTTTCTTTCTTCACTCCTGCAGACAAAAACCAGCAAAAATGAGCATGGAAGACCAGGCAGACAGCAAATATATATGCATCACATATTAGTAATATATTGTAGAAACTCAACTTACATACCCTTAAGCAAAGCAATCTCTTCCCTATGGCTGCTATGCACAGGTTAYACTGTTTTAAAAGTTAATAAATCGCAGCAACTCTCAAAGGAGTTAYATGTAAACATAGGGGAAGAATGTGTAAACACAGGGGAAGAATGTGATGCCAGCACTTCACAAGTACCAGAATTCCGGATTTTACTGTATGTCCAGCACATAAGTCCTTCAACAGCTCACCTATACCTCAGCGTGCACATGAATGTTCTGCAAAATTCTCTCTTTGCAGTCAAGATATAATCTATCTTCTCTTTTCTAAGCAGGCAGTGCACAATCACGAAGGTTTCAAATCTGTGTATTCATTTGAAAAGTTGGACAATTTGTATTTGGGGATAGAATATACAGAGTATATAAGAGCAAAATGTAGCTTCCTGAAAATGTTGTCTCTTCCTGCATACACACAAACGCACCACAAAACAATAAAAAAAAAAAAAAAAGCATGCAAAAAAGTCTGACACCTGAGACTTGAGTGGTTTTGTCTAATGGAATCTTCAGCTAAGGAGCAAAGATTAGGAGATACATRCAGCACAGCTCCAGTGAACACCCACAGGGTCACATGCAGATGAGGCAAGGTCAACTATAAGAAACAYGCATGGGGAACCATTTTTTTTCTTATAAAGTAAAAAATTAAGATGTGGTAGATTAAAACACAGAGACAGGCACTAATTTCCAGTCGAATGCTATGAAGTCCATAAACACATACATCTTGCACACACTATTTTCCTGCTGTGCCACACTAAGAGGAGCAGAATAAAATACTGTATTTCAAAAAAAGTCTCTCAGAACCTGTCATGAAGTCATCCATATCCTGTTCTTTGCTATAAGAGTATTAGTCGATACAAACATGGAAAAACTACTAAACATAGCACTGCAAGATGTAGTGATTTATTCTAAGTGTGACTTGAATAAAATAACTGGTATTTTCCTCAAAGATATCAGCAATAGAAAAAAGGTCCACATTATCACCGGTAATAGCCTGCACTGGAATTTATCTATTGGACAAATATATGGGACTAACTGTACAGCTCAAAAATTTTCAGAGGTAATGCAACCACATTGTTCAAAGAAAAAAACTACTCGTTCACCACACAGCTTTAAGRACAGCCACAAAACCATGTTCAAAAAATTCCAATATACCTATATAGCACACAAATCTGGCAGCATCAGCACCWTTTCTGCTGTTTTCAGCTATCACAAACAAGGCAAGAAAGCGCTGATTCCACTAAAGCATGTTTGACTTCAATACATTGCCCGTTCTAGAAAAGCCATTGTTTTGGACCTCAAATAATTTATGTTAATTATGAATACAYTTTTATACTGAACAGAAGGAAAAGCAAAAGGAAGAAGAAAGACATGAAAGACACAGAAGGATCTTCCATTTGCATAGTGMAGACCCAAAACCTTACCTCCATTGCAATATTGATATTCCCTCTCTCATCAGTTTAAAAATGAAAACTGTCTAACTTTCTGCCATGGATATAAACACTCACATATCTTGGAGGAGAGATAAGCAAATCAGCTCAGTGAGCCCATTTTCATGAAAATGTGTTTGCACATGCTGTTTTCCAGGAAACACCTGCGCTGACGCAGTTACTTGAATTGAAGTTAAAATAAGTTTCTGATTTTATGGGTAAGAAGGTAATTTTACTGAACATGAAAGAATCCATCTTTCACCATTAACCATGGCAGATGTGAAAATAAGCATATGTGTAAAATTCCTGACTTCTGAACAGCGGATTTCATCCTTTTGCTTTGACTACCTAGTGGTGCTTCACTGAGAGTGATCTATTTTAGAGTCTGAGATATTMAAGCAAATTAACATACAACATACTTTTATGCCCCACAATAAGTAATTCTTTCTTTTACTGTACTTAGCTGAAGTGGGATAGCTGGTATTCAGCAATCTTCCACTACAGATAAGTAATGACCTTGCCAACCAAGCCTCTAGACTAACACATTATGGGTAAAGACAAAACAAAATTATGCATTTCAGACTCCCACAGGGAAAGCCAAGTCTCTCTGCTCACAGGGTCCCACTCTGTGTACTTCCATAAGCYCTGCCCAGCAGGAACAACAAGAAAAGATGAAAAATTCAATAGACACACAGCAGGCAGAGTTCCAAAAACATTCCCTTATTCCCCACCAGCGAACCCACCRCCTCTACCACCCAGCCACTGCACGGTACCAGAATAAGCCAGAGTAGCATCTAAAGAACAAGCACAGCTGAACCAGCCACTGAAAAGTGAAGGCACACCTTATTGGAGATCTAAGTACTGGGAACCCTGAGTGAGGACAAAGCCTTACAAAAACCTCTGTGGAAAGGTAAAGCCACAATCAGGGACAAGGCAAAACCAAAA